TTTTTTGCGGTACGCGGGCCTCTCACTGTTGTGGCCTCTCCCGTTGCAGAGCACAGGCCCCGGACGCACAGGCTCAGCGGCCATGGCCCACGGGCCCAGCCGCTCCGCAGCATGTGGGATCCTCCCGGACCAGGGCACGAACCCCCATCCCCTGCATTGGCAGGCGGACCCTCAACCACCGCACCACCAGGGAAGCCCGGCAGGCGGATTCTTAACCACTGAGCCACCAGGGAAGTCCCAGCCTCTCACTTTTGATAGCCAGCCAATCACAAACAGCCCAGGGCACACGCCTCTGAGTGCCAACATTCAACATCAACCAGCCTCTTACAAGTGGCATCAATCTCTACTGCCTCTAAAATTCGCCAATCCCTGAATTCAACCTTGCCCAAAAACTATATGTAAGATCAACAGTCTGCTCTGCTTGGAGAGACTATGTATGACCAGCACAGCTTTCCCTTACTGTAGGAAGCAATAGATTCAGTATTGTCTTTTCAGATGTCGGCCTCTAGGGGAACAATTCTGCCGTCCATCCTAACAACTTCGAGTACCTCCACAAAGGCCATGTAGGCAAGGCTTAACAGTTCTGAAATTGCTCCTGGAGGAAGTGGAGATCAGCATGGTGTGGAGCCGTTTTGAGGCATTTTTCTCATCTACATCTTGGAGTCAGCCACGGGTCATTTCTCATCTATCTCCCTAGTTTTATTTGAACACAGAACTTTCTGCCTTGCACCTCCCTCCCCTTAGGTACAGCTGCAAATTTCTGTGTAAGTCTATAAAACTGTTTGGCAGTTTATTTTTTTTTTTATTCTATTTTTTTTTAGTGAAACAAGTAAAAGGTTTATTAGGAGCAAAAAAGTACATGTGAATAGACACACATGGGTGGGCTCAGAGAGAGAGTCGCGCCTTTGTGGTAGTTTAAATCACTTACATGGGGCCTTTCTTCTGGGTTTCCTCTGGCCAATCATCTTGCTTTGCCTGACTCAGAGTCCGTATTTGGTTAACTCAGTGTCCTCCCCGTGTGCGTGCGCACCTCTTAGCCAAGATGGATTCTGGCGCAGAAGCCTATGGGAAGGTTGACGCCACGTATTATGCGGTGGTGCCCCCTCCCTTTTTGGCCCCCAAGGAGTCTTTCTACGCATGGGTAGTCGGGAAGGTCTCCTTGACCTCGAGAATGAGAAATATCTGGTCTCTTTATTGTGAATCTGGGCAGGACTCAGCTCCTCCCTGCCTTGCTTGGCAGTAGTTTAGAGTTGGCTCCTCAGCAAGGCCGGGATTAGGGTGGGCAAAATTGAAGAGGGCACTCACTCTCGGTTTCATGCAATTGCTGACCCTGCCCTGCTCCTCAACAACAGCGATCCCCACAGTTCCTGTAATCTGTCATCCAGCCCCTCCTGTTTGGTGCCATACTGTGGGACTAGGTAGCAGATACCATGCTGATCTTTCTTTTGCTGTCTATGTAAATAATAAACTGTCTAAATCTATTTGGACTCCTTATGGGCCCAATCTATGGCAGTGTAGCAAGCTAATATAGCAGGTGCCACCATGATGTTGTTTACAGACCACTTGACCCCTTGACAGTCTCTTGATCGTTGTGATGAACTATTACATTCTTAAATTGTCTTCTTATTAGTTCCAACAAGTGCTACTTAGCAGGATGCCATTCCTCTTGACTAACACACTTCCACATCATTTGCATGTTACTGCTTTTGCTTCTTAAATATGTCATTTTCATTGCTGTCATGGTGTTGCAATTCACAAATAGATCAATTGATCAGGACTTCCCTGGTGACACAGTGGTTAAGAATCCGCCTGCCAGTGCAGGGGACACGGGTTTGATCCCTGGTCTGGGAAGATCCCACATGCTGCAGAGCAATTAAGCCTGTGTGCCACAACTACTGAGCCTGTGCTCTACAGCCTGTGAGCCACAACTACTGAGCCCATGTGCCACAACTACTGAAGCCCAAGTGCCTAGAGCCCATGCTCCGCAACAAGAGAAGCCACCGCAGTGAGAAACCCGTGCACCTCAACAAAGAGTAGTCCCCGCTCAACGCAACTAGAGAAAGCCCACGTGCAGCAATGAAGACCCAATGCAGCCAAAAACAAGAAAAAAAGAAAAAGAAATATATTCAATGGCCATGATTAAAAAGTCTACAAATAACAAATACTGGAGAGGGTGTGGAGAAAAGGGAACGCTCCTACACTGTTGGTGGGAATGCAAGTTGGTGCAGCCACTATGGAGAACAGTATGGAGGTTCCTAAAAAAAACTAAAAATAGAGATGCCATACGATCCAACAATCCCAGTCCTGGGCATATATCCAGACAAAACTATAATTCGAAAATATAGATATACTCCTATGTTCATAGCAGCACTATTTACAATAGCCAAGACATGGAAACAACCTAAATGTCCACTGACAGATAAATGGATAAAGAAGACGTGGTACACATATATAGTGGAATATTACTCAGCCATAAAAAAGAATGAAATAATGCCATTTGTGGCTACATGCATGGACCTAGAGATTATTATACTAAATGAAGTAAGTCAGAAATATAAAGACAAATACCTTATGATATCACTTACATATGGAATCTAAAATATGACACAAATGAACTTATCTATGAAACAGAAACAGAACTCACAGACAGAGAACAGACTTGTGGTTGCCAAGGGGGTGCAGGGGAGGGTTGGATTGGGAGTTTGAGACTAGCAGATGCAAACTGTTATATAAAAAAATGGGTAAACAACAAGGTCCTATTGTATAGCACAGGGAACTATATTCAATATCCAGTAATAAACCATAATAGAAATAAGGTTTACAAAGAAGTATATTCAATATCTTGTAATAACCTAAAATGGAAAAGAATCTGAAGAAAAAATGTATATATATATAATATAATGAATTACTTAGCTGTACACCTGAAACTAACACAATATTGTAAATCAACTATACCTCAATTAAAATAGTAGTTCATTACAGCTTAAAAGAAAAATATAAGAATGTAAATATAAAACTTTTATGTACTAGAACGTGTAAATATATACTCATGGTAAAACAGAGCTAGCTATCTAAACTTGGCTTTCCCTGCATTGGTGATCTTTTAGCTCTGGAATCAAGGTGTGGTGTTGTAACACTTCATTTGATAGTGACATGAAGCCATCAGAGCAGACTGCTTTGGTAAACCAATCAGGTTTTTCTGGAACGAATGCAAAATATTGCTTTCCAGCTGGAGTGATAAAATCTCTCACATGTTCTCTTTAATGTCCTTTCCCCGCTCACTGTGGGATACAAATGGACACAAGCCTCCCGGGGAGGATAAAGCCGCAGAAGCCAGACTTCTCAAATGATTCTGTAAAGGAGAGCTGGCCCACTGACTGGAACCAACATGGACTGTTACTGGCTAAAGAAAGAAATTTGGGTCTGTTTGTTAAAGACTTTAAACCTATTGTAACTAATATAGTGAAGAAAAGGGCAGTGAGTACACACTTCCACAGTGAAGTTGGCTGACACTTGAGGACAAAAGCTGCTCATATTAGTGTCTGAA